ATTATTATTATTATTATTATTATTATTATTATTATTAACATATAATTCAGAAAGATAAAATGTATGCATGAATAAAGAGAATCTGTTGCTAACAGTTTGTTCCCAAACAGGGTAAACCAAATTATATGTATGCAATTGTCTTACAGGCCATAAATAAATTGATATATTAAAATTTATGTATTTTTGAAGGTTAATATGAATTTCTTTTCCATTCCTAGTTGTTCAGCAGTACCGGCAAGTTTGTCTCATAGTATATAATCTCTGCAATGGTCTCTCTTCTCAAGGACCACACTTCCCATCTGCATTTAATAAAAGGATACCAGTAACCTCAAGAGAACAACCCTACAATACAAGAAACAACTGTGCAAATATCTGAAAAGGCTTCTATTTTTTTATTGTCACACTGAGATCCTAGTGAGCTTCAGCTAACACGATTGTTTTCAATAAAAATAATCCCTCATTGGTCATTTTCTTGCAAAGAAATAAATGCTGGCGCAACTCAGCAGAATAAAACGACATTGATCATGAATGTCAGTCTATTCACCTGTTTCAGTTACTCAAATAGCTCCCAAATCTGGCATGTATTAAATTAATTCTGAAAAGAATGTGTTTAGATTTTAGATTATCACAATGAAGAGATATAAAGAGAGAGTGGTAAAGAGAAATTTTATACAATAAGAGCAAATGAGCAAATATTGAACAAGAAAGAAAAAAAGGAAGAAAAAAAGGAATTATGTGATCCATCCATAGAAACACAATTTTTTAAGGTAATATACTAAAAAGTTCAGAATTCATAGAATCTAGAAAGAATTATAAACTTGCCGAGAAAATGCCCAAAATGGAGGAGAAAAGAGGCAGTCTCAAAGATCAGATCAGATCAAGTTTAATAAGGTCATAGACCAATATCTCAAAGTACATTTTCGCATGTGAACTAAGCAGGTGTCAACAGACCTACTTATGAAGCTCACAAGCAATTCTGGACCATTTATACTCTCTACAGTGGTGCCTCGCTAGACATTACCCTGCATAATAGTTTTTTCGCTAGACATTGACTTTTTGCGATCACTATAGTGATTCGCAAAACAGTGATTCCTATGAGGGAATTTCGCTGGACAATGTTTGGTCCCTGCTTCGCAAACCAATTTTCACTAGACGACAATTTTGACAGCTTCCTCCGCGCTAGCAAAATAGGTGTTTTCAGGACCTAAGCTTCACAAGACAGCAATTTAAACAGCTGATCGCCGGTTCGCAAAGCGGCTTTCCTATGGCCGATCTTCGCTAGGCAATGACAATTCTTCCCCATTGGAACGCATTAAACAGGTTTCAATGCATTCCAATGGGGAAATACTTTTCGCTAGACAATGATTTCGCTAAACAGCAATTTCAGTGGAATGAATTATCGTCTATCGAGGCACCACTGTACTTCATATAATTGTTGGAAAGGTAAACTGGAGGAGGACAGCCATCTATGATACCTTAAGCTCACTGGAGGAACAGTGAGATATAACAGCAAGAAACAAAGAAAAGAAGAGCCCACAA